TCTATAAATTATGTCAAATGTGGGAATAGAATAAAGAAATAGAAGATATATAAAAAAAATATCATATGGCAACCGTAAATGTTTGGAATGGAATCATGGATATCGATCACATTTTATTGTGGCTTTCCCTTGAGATTGGTGGAGGAAAAATATTTGTGTTGGATTGAATTTTAATAGTTAATTCCAATGAAAAATTCAACATTTTAATATTTATCAGTATTGTATAATATTAATATCCATCAGTATTAATGTTGGATACGAAATGCATATTACCTAAATCGTGAAAACGCTATTTTAAATAGTGTGTAGTATTATTTTTTATTATGCTTATTGGTATGTTTTATTAGAATTTTTTTTTTTTTAAAACTAAAAATAAAATAAAGATAATAGCATGCGTGTGATATAAAAATATATTACATGTTATAGTATTAGAGCGCGTTCGTGAAATTCCTAAAGTTAAATCAGTTTTAAATTAAAACGCCCTCCAAATCTTAAAGTTACATTCACATCTTATTCTTTTTCCGTTTCCACTTTGGTCATTTCACTAGCTATTTCATAATTAAACCATTTTATTTTTCCAGACAAGAAATCGTATATTAATTTTAAATATGACAACGGCTTAGCTCACGAGTTGCACACTTATCTACAATGGATCCATTTGCTTCTTTATACAATATCATCACATTGCTTTTGTCTCTTTTAATAATTTGGTATGCTAGTACATGATAGACCTAATTTTTTTCCTTTTTTAAATTAAAAAAAAAAAAGTATTTCACATAGGTAATGGCCAGGCTGTAAAACAAACTCTTTAATTTTTAAATCAATTTTGAGATGTGAGTAGAAATTCAATTTCTTTATATTTGAATGGCCTTGACTATTTTTACTTGGTTTTTATCCACACTAGTACGGTACCCGTGCGATGTACGGGAGCATTTATTACCTATTTGTTTTTTAAAAGATATTTTTGTATTTAAATTATCTCATGGCATTAAAAATATCATGAAAATGAAAATTTATATGTTATTAAACACTTCCTTATTTACAACATTATTGGTTTGATTCATTGGCACGTAAAATACTAAACATGTGTTTGAATTTTTTCTAAAATTGTATATTATTAGTTATTATTTAACAAATTTAAAAAAAAATTAACTTTAATTATTTTATTTTAAATAATATTTTAATTTAAACTTAAATTTCCACTAACTAATAATCATACCATCTTTTTCAAAATGAACTATAGTTAAAAAAAAAAAATCAATCAAAAACTAGTTAAATCTATATCCAATCACACTCTAAATAATTAACATCAAGAATTTTAATTAAAATATATTATTTCTCAATTAAAAATTACAGTTTTGTACCTAACAAGGGATTATTGTCCATTTACAAATTCGGGTGAGACAGAGAAGATACCAAAATGTTTTAATACAACTTATTGTTGCTTTTGGGATCTTATAATATTTTTATTCCCATATGAACCAATAAAAAAAACATAAAAGACATAATTTTTGCGGAGTCCCACAAAGCAATCAAACTACCACACTAGCGCTCAGTACCTACTACTTGTGGGCTAAATTGCAAAATTTGTGAAGTGCTCTAGAGCCTCTGCTCGACCCTAGAATATGGGGAAATTCTATTGGAAGGCTTAAATTTTAGTAACTGTATTAATTTAAGGTCTGAATTTTGTAACAGAAGACTTATATTTTAGGTTATTCTCACTTTAAGACTTACATTTTAGTTAACTTTCCATTATAAGACCTCAACTAACTTTACCTTTTCATATAAATATATAAAACAACTATTATGTGAATAAAAAGTATTATTATTATTTTGTAATTTATATTTTGCATACTTATAGATAAAATTATATTAATAAAAATTAATTTTAACTTTCCTTTTTGGAAGCAAAAGTTGATACTATGTCATTACTTGTTGAAAATATGATATATTTTTGTACATTGCATTTATATATTATTTTTAGTTTTACATATTTATATTATAAATAAAAATAATATTTCATATTTTTTAATTCACTTATCATTTTTTTAAATTATTCATGATTAAACTTTTGCATAAATATATTTTATATAGTTTCGCTTTATTATTAAGTAAATATTACTAAAGATATTTATTATAAGTATGTAAAATATAAACTAAATAAAAAATTATTTTTGTTCACATAACTATATTATAAAATAAAGTTAATTGGTTCACATATTTATATCAAAATATAAAGTTAATTGAGCCTTACAATGGAAAGTTAACTAAAAAGTGAGCCTTAAATTGAGAATAACCTAAAATATAGGTCTTCTATTGAAAAAGAATAAAATTCAAGCCTTAAATTGATACAATATAAAAAATTTGAGCCTTCCAATGGAATTTCCCCCTAGAAGGGATAGTTTACTCCAGTTTAGAGTAGAGTAAGCCAAAATTTAAATATATTATTTTTTTATTCATTTTTATTTCAAATAAATTAATATTATATGTATATTTAATATTATATAAATATTTATCACCCAAATAATAAAAATATATTTATGTATAACAACACGTTTACTTGTTTTATTGTGTATATTTTTATTCATATGGTACCATTTTAATATTAAAAATTACAAAATAAAATTATAATACATAAATAAATAAAAAACACAAAATTATTTAGCATAAAAATACACTGCACAAATTATTTAGCATAAAAAATACATTTACTAATACACATTATAAAAAATTTACCCATTTAAACGTAGCAGATAACAGCGGGGCTCGATAATTGATGTGTATTCGAATTATAGAAGCTAGTAATCGTCGATATGCTCATATTGGTGACGTTATTGTTGCTGTGATCTCATTAATATTATATTAAAATACATAAAAAAAATAAATAAAAAAATATGTAGAGATGTCACAGTGTTGCGCCAGATGTGGTACAACACTATTACTTTTTCCAAAGTAGCGTAATCTTCTGGCGCAAGGTTGGAGGAGTTTTCTGCGCTACAATAGCGCATATGCAGAGAGATAGAGCAAGGCTGGAGCCGCTCTAAAGGTTCAGCTGGATGCAACATGCTTAGTGACAATGTGCCTTTTTATATATCAGTTTTATGGATCAGGGGCGGAGCCAAGATTCAAATTACCCGCAATATCGTTTGATCTAAATATATTAATGTTGTACAAAAGTTTTATGTTTTTTTATAAAATTTATTGTTACACTTTTGTTTTCAAATTTAAAAGTTCACTACAAGAATATGATGAAATTCCAATAGAAAATTCCAACGGAAATATATTCCAATGCAATTTCAACGGCAATTCCAATGAATATTCTAATGCTATCTTCCGATCGAATTTCCATTTTAGAGGAGAAAGATGGAACAGACAAACTCCCCGAGATCTATTCCATTGGAACTTTTCAATTGATTCCAACAGAAATTCCAGCAAAAATATTCCGTTGGAAGGTTTTTTCATTGAAATTTTCGGTGGATTTTGACAATTCCCAAGGTACATTTTCCAACGGTTGAAATATGAGTGAAAAAAAAATTTCAACGGAAATTGTATATTTCAGCGAAAATTTCTACGGTAAAAAATTGTTGGAATAATAGCCGTTGAAATAATCAAGTTCCATCTAAATCCCAATGGAAAACTATTTCCAACGGAATAATTCGGTTGAAATTTTTGTCAGAATCTTTCCAATGAAAGCTATACAATTGGAATATCTATTAGAATTTCTATGGAATATATTACCGTAGGATTTTTCATTAGAATATAATATTTTTTTGTAGTGGTTGCTTAATTTTTTATAAAAGAAATGGGGAAAATATTAATAGTTAATTGTGAAAAAATTGAAAAGTAAAATACAAGAGAACGATATGGATATTAAATACAGAGCAAAGCTAAAAATATAAATCATGGCCATAAATTTCCTAATTTAGTAAAAAATTATGATGTTATCATTGAGTTTTGTTAATTTACAGCATTTGGTTTTTGACTTAGACAAAAACAAAGTAAGACTTACAAATAAATAAACCTTTTCACTTCCGCACTAAAAACTGTCGTTTTATGCCTAAATAACAGTTGTTTTGGATTTTTTTTAGTCAAAATTAACATATATAATAATTGCTAGAAAATCAATGCATCAATCCTTGTGGCATGCCTCATCCTAAGTTGAATACAAAAAATAAAAAATAAAAAATAATTAAAAAAAAAAAAAAATCAAGGCGTCCTACATGGTCATTGCTCGTACTAACTACATCAGATTTTCTTCCAAGAACATATAGGGGCTAAAAAGGCAATTCTCTATTTCATGAGAACAAAAACTGATACAATAATTTTTCGAGGATTTCCTCTTTCACTAGTAGAGCCCCTAACCCGAACTTACCTTCATTTTGGTAAATTCTACAAAATAAAATTGCAACAGAAAAATCACCTAAATTAATTTATTAGGATTGGTTGGACCAAATAATGAATACAATAAAAGTATCTAAATCTTTGATTTATTAAACAGCTTCAGGACCAGCTATTGTTTTGTTTGCACGATCAGCTTTGGGCTCATCATTTGTTGAAGGGCTTGTGGCTGTTTTTGGCAGTTGTTGCTGGGAAATTTCTATTGCTTTCTGGTCCTTGCTTTTGCCCCAAATTACTAAGTACAACCCAATAACGATGACTGTAGCGCCACATACCCTACATCAATGATCAGATTTTGACCGAATTTAGATATTGTATAAACTTTCCATGTTATATATATATATATATTCAAGTGTGTTTATAAGACATATATACGTGATAGAGTTACTCACTTTCCAACTGTCATTTGCTCGGCAAAAATGAAAGAACTCATAACTGCGACGATGACCATGCCCAGAGGATTAAATGCGGTAACAAAAACCGGTCCTTTTTCTTTCATTATCACCCCGGATAAATAATATGTTATACCAGAACACACCACTCCCTGAAAAAATAATAACTATATTTATTATTATAATGAAAAAAGAAACAAAAGATGTACATATAATTGAAAATTTATTAAAATATATTTTTGAATTAAAATAAAAAAAATTGAGAAAAAGTCTTACCCCGTAGACATATGCCAAGAGTTTGGCATCCAATCCAAAGGCCCAAATTGAAGTATTTCCTCTCTCGGCCACAAAAGTTAGAATAGTTCCAAGGAAGGCTCCAATAGAACACACCATAGCCGTTAGAGAAAGCCCGGCTGGGTAAGATTTCAATGTAATTGCCTAAATTATACATCCAAACACAAAATAAATACTTGGCATTTTGAGAGAAAAAAACTATTAGAACAAATTATAAACATGTAATTAAATTGAAATATTGTGGATTTGAAATATATATAATATACCTGAAGAGTGTAAAAAGCGGAATAGCCGGTACAACCAACGGCGATCATGATAGCTCCCTTAATAGGATTTTCAGGATTTGCAGAGGCTTGTTGATTATTATGTGATTCGTGTGTCCACGGCAATCCTATCACGGGCCCAGCAATTAGAGTCATAATCATGGCTCCACCTACAGTAACCAAAGTCCCCATAATTTTTGCATGACTGTGAAGGCTTTTGAAGTTCACTTTTTCAATCCTGCAAAAATAAAAAATAAATCAAATGTTACATGCATATTAATCATACTTTCTTTAGTACTTATGTGACATAGAATAAAATGAATTTGGCTTTGCTATTTTATTTTGTTCCAAATAACAAGCATATATGTGATTGAATTAGTCGAAATTAATTAATTAATTACTAACCTAAGTATCCAAGCCAATACGAAAGTGATAGCAGGAATGAGATTGCAAAGGGCTGCAGCAAAAGTGGCCGATGAATATCTCATCCCGGCATAGAACATGTTCTGCCCGATAACTGGGCTGTTACAAATAAAACGGTCACACATTATTACTTCACATTAAAGGAAAAAAAAAAAAATAAAAAAAATCTTAAATGTCGTTATTTGAACATTTATTATATGCAACTTATTCGAACTACTTACTCGAATAAGCTAAGCAACAAGATCTTCCACATTACGCTGAAGGTCATTTTCGGCCTAGTTTTCCTGTTCAAAGGAATAAAAAAAAATCCACATTAGTATCGTCAAGATAAAACTAAAAGATATCGAAAAAAAGAAATAAAAATTCAATATATTTTATTATTAGACCTCTCGAAAATGAGGGCGAAAGGGATGAAAAGGGCAGCGGCAATTGCATTTCTGTAGACGGCGAAAGTGTAATTGCTGCTGCCTTGATTTAGAGCCGCCTTTGCGACTATACCAAAACCGGCACTACCGAATTGCAAGAAAATAACACCAATGAAAGGCCTCAGTTTTTGCAAAACCTTTGAGTCCATGATTAATTATATTTTCTCTTTGTCAAAAATCTAATTCTTGATGAGTAGTTTTTTTCTAAAAAAATATTAATAATGAATTTTGTTGCTTGAAAAATCTCTAAGTAACTATGTGAAGTCTGATATGTGTGTGGAGTTGCATGGACAGGATATTGTGCTTTATATAGAGGCATGGAAAGGTGGGAGTACCTTCGTCCTTCATTATTACGACTTTTCAAATTTGGATTTAGAGATATATTATATATGCTAAATGCAATGGTGTGTGTGACACGTAGGATCTTTATAAGTTCTACGGAATATGGACTAGTGTAGTCGTGGTTTATTCATTTGTTTATTATTTGGTCAAATGTATAGTATACGAGCCATCACATATGACCACTACTAGTAATGGAATCCCATCTATTCTATGCAAGAGAGGAAATAATAAAATTTCTCAATTAAAACTGCCTAGGAAAACAATCCATCCTAAGCAAATAATTATTAAATTAATTCATATTTAGATATTTCTTATTATTATTGCAATTATTAGTAGTAGTAGTATATTGTCACTCGTATTTCATTATTTGTGGATATATTCAAGTGGTATATCACTAAATATGAAGTAAATTAAGACGATTATGTTTCTTCACTTACAGAAGTGTTTATATATATTAGAATAATACGTGAGTTGTCTCACATCATTTATATAAAAAAAAATAGGTATAACTTATAAATCTAGTGAACTACTTCTCTTTCTATTAATTGGTTTTAAGATGAAATATTACTTGGGTTTCATCTAAACTCACCCGTATTTTCACTAGCTATATTTTTTATAATTCCATTAGATTTAGTCAAATTTATGTGGTCTAGCTAGACTTATTCTGTCGGAGCGTTTTGGATATTTGAATTTAAATTCTATATTGAATAGTAATATCTATTGTTAATTACTCCCATAGCCGCCACCTGGCACACTATATATGTCAATCACATACCTTTCGTATCTAGCCCATTACATATGCTATGATAATATTTTATTTAACATGATGAAGAGCTTATATGTTTTTAGGGATAATAGATACATTAAGTTAGAAAATATTAATTTAGTCATTATATTTTGCCTAAATTTGTAGCAGATATATATTGATAATGTTTATTTAGTGTCATTATTTGTTTATAATATATGTATATATATATATATATATATATATAATTACTAGCTGATATATTTAATAAAACATTTAATAAAACCTATTTTCATTTCCTTTCATAATGAGTTACATTTTTTTTCCATTAGTTACTCACTAATCTAATAAAACCGTTACACCTTAATAAATATATTTTTATTATTTATTTTTTGGAGCAGTTGCTAAATTAATTCTAAATTTGGTAGCAAAATATTCAAATGTGTAACGGCTAATGTTGGAACTTAAAATTGATTGACAAATCTGTTGGAAGAAAAATATGATTGACACATTTTTTTTTTCTAAAAATCAGAAACACCAATAATATTTTTTATTTATGTTAGTTTTTTAATATATGCCACAAATATATAAATTATTTTATTCATGTTACTAATGTAAACATTGCATGATTAAAATAAAATTTAAATCTCAATTAATTTTGAATGATAAAAATAACTTAAGAAAAAGTAATAATTTTTATATGATAGAAGTACATGTCTAATTAATAAATACAAATAAAAACGTGTTTTATATTTGTGTAAATGCACAGGATCAAATACTAGTATGTAGTAACAAGATATATATTGATAGTGTTTTATTTAGTATGATATTAATAATTTATTTAATATGATGTTAGTTAGCATCGTTGCTTTGCGAATGATAGTATGTACTAGTAAGATTTATATTGATAGTACTTTATTTATAGTATGATATGATATTACTAAAATATATATTATAATATTTTATTTAATAAGATAGTAATTGGTATCATTATTTAGTGGGCTACTTAGCTTTGGAATGAAACTTTATTTGGAGTGGAACCTCACTTGGCTTCTAAGCTTTCCTTAATTCCTTTAGATTTAGTCAAATTTATTTGGTCTAAGACTTATTCTGTCGGAGGGTTTTGATATTTGAATTTAAATTCTATATTGAGTAGTAATATGTATTGTTAATTACTTCCATAGCTGCCACCTGGCACACTATGCCAATCACATACGTTTGGTATATAGCCGATTACATATGCTATCATAATATTCTCACCTATTTTTAATAAGTGACATATTATGATAATACTTTCTTATTTTAATAAGTGACGTAATGTAATTATTAATTAAATAGGAGTAATTATAGAAAAATATGTACAAAAAATTTATTAAGTTATAATAGATACATTAAGTTAGAAAATATTAATATAGTATCATTATATTTTGTCTAATTTGTAGCAGATATATATTGATAACATTAATTTAGTGTCATTATTTGTTTATAATATGTAGTAACAAGATATATATTGATAGTGTTTTATACGATATTAATAGTTTATTTAATATGATGTTAGTTAGTATCGTTGCTTTGCGAATGATAATATGTACTAGTAATTAGATTTATATTGATAGTAATTTATAGTATGATATTAATAAAATATATATTGATAATATTTTATTTAATATGAGAGTAATTAGTATCATTGTATTACCTTAGTGGAACTATTTGTTGATATCTTTAATAACATTATTCTTGTGCTTTG